TTTTTTTCATACTCCTATGTAAGAAGTTGTCAAAGATGACAATGAGCGGTAGTGTAGGAAAATAGAATGAACTACCAGAGTTTGTAATAGTAAATTAGAATACTGTACAGGATATATTATATGAGAAAGCTTAGAAATTACACAAAAGTGCTATTTAAATCCAGAACTACCTGTACAACCACCATTTATGAATGATAGAAAATGTTGTGATAGACATGTGGTACAGAGATGGTACATGTGTGCACAGTACATTGACATTTAATACAATGTGCTCACCTGGTATTCCAGTCCCTTTGCTGAATATAACTTAAATACTGATACTTCTCAAAAAAATATTTTGATACTCGAGGTGAGAGAAAAATATAGTTGAACAGATAGAAGAAAAAAGTGCAGGCCACTATAGTGTAGTATACCATACGTTCCTCGGATCTCTGCTCCCTAACGTTCATGATTTCAGTGAGGTTTTCTAAAAGGAAGTCCAAATAAAACTGGAATAGTTAGGTGAATAAGTTATGCAGATACAGCAGTTCTTGATCATTGGTCAAAGGTCAGAGATAAATAGGGTAACATTGAGATTCATAAATAGGTGTATATCTATTACATTTGTTTTCATAATACAATAATATTTGCCCTACTTTCTACTAAAAAAATCAGACTAAAATCTGCCTTGTGCAACACCTGTGTACTGTATCAAATTTTATATGAGCCAAACATTTTCTTCAAACTACAGCATGGTAGGCTATATTGTAGGGGATACTAGGATTCAAGGAAAATATACCATCATCAACGATACAATGAGATACAGTCAAAATTTGTGTCCAGGAGCTATAACAATGGATTAATTAATATAACATGATAAAATGAGTTCAAATAATAGAACAAGTACAAAACAACAATATTATAACATATATAACATTTACCAGAAATATTTATAAAATATATATCTATATATTTATATATTTATTTATTTATATTTATATACTTATTATTTATATTATTTATTTTAGGTATAAAGATATAAAATTACAGTCAAAACCCATGCAAGTATACTTACTCTACTAGGCCTAGTACTAATAAAAGGAAAGGCAATCTCTCTATGGGTGACGATCAAGGCCACGGGACGATTGGGCCCACAATACGATCGGGCCCAACTAGTGTGGATGATCGGTCCCATGCCAAGATGATCGGGTCCACCAAGTGTTGACTATCGGGCCCACTTTTATTCTGATTCATTATTGCGTTCTAAATATATTTAACATATAGATATTATTAAGAATTGTAAATAAAAATGTTCATATACTGTATTTATTTATTGATTTCAGTATACAAACATCAACAAATACAAAAGACAGTCATGGGCTGAAATGATTTTGCCTACAGTCTGACGATTGGGCCCTAGAGACGATCGGGCACATTTTGAGGCCCCGATCGCCATGTAGGCAAAAAACAGTGCTATACGTAGCGATTCTGTTCATGGTGTAGACTTGGATTTATTGTGTATTTTTATGCAAAGATATTACAAATAGTAGATATATCATTAAATACTGATACATTAAATACTATTTGTCACTTATATCTAGGTATTTGTTTATGATAAGTATATTAGAAGGCAATTTTTGAAGATGGAAAATTCTTTCTAATTTAGCCGTCGTCAACGAAAAACATCATCATAATATTGGTAGGCTAAGGGTACATTTTGTAGCTTGGCCAATCAGGTGGACATGTTTCTCCTCTAGTTGGTAGATACAGTAACTTAATGTTGGTTTTTTTTCTCAGTTTCACTGTATATAATAACTATTTGTTTGTTTGTTTAATTTATTTCTCCACACACATGAACATATTAACATACATAACAAAAGCTTAATAGTAAAACCAACTAAGAATAATAGTACATTACAGATTGAGTGTGTGGAAGGAGGCCAAAATAAGCTTAGAATAAAACTTTAAGCCGTGGCCACCAGTTAAAAATATATAGAAATCCAAAAATATAAAAACAAAATAAATATATATATATACATACATGCATATATATACATATATACACATACATACATACACACACACATATATATCAAATAAAACTCAGGAACAAGGTATATATTTGCCAAATTTAATACAGAAAATTCACAAACGTTTTCGGCCATAGGCCTTCATCAGGTGGTCTTCATCACACCTGTCTCAAACTATAATAATAATTATCTTTATTTTAACAGTTATGTATTTTATATTTGCAAATAAACAAAATATTAGATTCATGAGGCAAAGTGCTTTCCAATGACATGCTGGTCAAGGGGGTGTTGGAGAAGCAAAAATGTTCCCCCGGGGGTGGGGTGAAGGTTGGAGGCAGGGTTTGTCCTGGAAATGTACCAGGAGGCTTATTATATCAGAGATACTTGGATTTATTAAGTTCAACAGCAAGAATAAGGATTATAATTATTTTATACAATTTTCACACCCATCTGCCACAACTTTTTTGTCTTTACCATTAAAATGCCTATTCTTAAACTGTTAATTAATAAATATCGTAAAAAATTTTAGAAATTTAATGCATTGGTCGATTTTCATGATTTTTTTACTAATAAATTACAAATAATTTGCTGATTGTTTTGATGTATAAACTAGGCCTAGGCCCTATTCTATTTTGTAACGTTTGAAATTTCTTGTCAGGTACCTACCCTAGGATTCGGAAGGAATGTTTGTTTTCTGTCTGTAACATAGATAGGGCCTTAGGCCTATGAAACTCATCTCAATCAAAATCGATGGCATGCGCAGGCCTACATGATCGATGAGAGATTACTACTTAGGATAGGCCTAGGGCCTAGGCCCTATTGCTGTAGCCTAGGCTAGGCCTAGTACTTAGTTAGGCTGAAGATAGCCTAGCCTCTAGGCCTACTAGGCCTAGTAGTTTACGTAAAGCCAATGAAATGCTTCAGCTTAGCATGCAGCATGGCATTTAAAAAAAAGCATGTCTAATCTACGTATTGTTCACTTACATTTCTCTCAAACAACTGCTTCTACAACCAAAGAGAAGCTCGAGGTCGATAAAGGTCTAGTTATGACGCTTTATCTTATCGTAAGGTCCCCAAACTTAACACCCCAACCTCGCCCCTCCTCATCATCGCTTGTTGTTGAGAAATAGATAGAGGGCAGGATAACCTTCAACAAAACTAGCCGAAACTCTGATTGGATGAAAGTTGAGTCTGGTCTACGTTGTTCACATCAAGTCCGGATCCGGTCTTTTGGGTGAAGGTAGTTTTAATCTATGATGATGGTGGTATACGATTAACGATTACTGTATTGGATTGATAATAATGATTGTGAGGATGATTATTCTGATGATGATATGCCGATAAAGATGAAAGGGTGATGCATGACGATGTAAATGCCTTTCTATGCTGTTTACCCACTCTTCCCAAGTGATCTTTTTGGTTCCTGTGGGTTTAAAAACAGTCGAGGAAAAATGAGAATAAATTCAAATTGTTTTTATTATTTAATTTATTTGTCAACTCATGTACTTTCTGCACGCTTTCCCTGATGTTTAGATTGGTATATTACAACTATTTATTTTGACTACAAATAATACCACCACATAATAACCGAAACATGCACTTGATACAGAACATAGAGGATAAATACAAAAAAATATATTAGGAAGGTTAAAATAAAAAAAGGTGATAAAATATACTATAAATTATGGTGTGAACCAATTATGCACTACATTCATATAATGCAATATATTCTACACACAAGCAAAACATTTGATTTGGGGTTTATTACCAATGATATATAGCAACAAAAGCCACTTCACTGATGGTCATCAGCAGATGCAATATCATGGAGAACATGGTCACACTAGATGCGAGTAATGGATCTGTTTCAATGACGATCCACTCTGACTGCCACCAATAATCAGCAATAGCCTTGTGCCCTCAAACGCCTACCGAGAGCGGATATGGGTTCATCCGCCGATAGCCCTAAGCCTGACGTAAATCAACGTTTCTCTTCTACTGTATCATTGTTTTATTTTTACTTTTTTGTTACTTTTGAATTGTACATTTGTAAACATATTTTCTGTATATTTTTGCTATATCTATATACCAGAGCTTCCTTAGAAAGCAGTACGAGTCACTGAATGGTCACACCCTGAATAAAGAAAGCTTAATTTACGACACTGCAATATTGACATTGGTATAACTTGGTTTCAATATTGCCATTACTAATATAAAAAAGATAAATAATAATTCTTTTTCTTTTAGAACAAGCTTCACAGTTGAAATTCCAATTAGAACAACAATGCAAAAAAGTTTGATGTCTTGGCAAGGAAAGCAATTTTCATAAAATGTACTTTTATGACAAATACAGATTTATTAGTATAAGCAGATGCAAATTGTAAACAAAACAGATATACAGTAGAACCCTCCCCTATATGGGGACACCTTTGGGACCGAAAAAATTGTCCACTAATAAGGGTGACCCTTGAATAGAAGTTGGCTGTAGTGTTAAAATATATAATTTCCTTTGTTTCGTGGCTGAAAAAGTGTTCCCTTAATAGGGGTGTCTCAAAGAGGGGTTCTACTGTAGTAGCAACAAAGTAATAATAATAAAGACAAATAAAAAAAGACCAAAAAAACCCTGATTGGATATCATTTAACAGCCTACTGAAATGCACTCAACAATAACATATTTTATCAGTAAAAATTCTTTTATGGACATGATTACTGATTCTAAAATCATCACTATTATTTTAAATACATTTAGCAGAGAATACTGTACAATCTGTAAGCTATGCAAGATGCACAACTTAAGGTATTGACCACCATGCTTCCAAAGATATTATCAAGCACCTGCTCATGTGCTTCTTAAAGTCAGGCCCCGGAGGAAAAAAATTTGATATGTTGTAGTACTGATTTTTCCAAGACAGAAAAAAGTTGTTTGACGAAAAACTGGGGAACGGTGAATGAGATACAGATTTTTTAATATTTAAAAACTGGGGGAAAAGGGGGTGTAACTGCCCATTTTTACACCTTATTTCCCCAGGTTTTTAAAAAAAAGTTCTTAGAAAAATCAGTTCTACAACATATCAAAAAATTTTTTTCCTCCGGAGCCTGACTTTAACAGTCATGGCACTACATTGAAATGGAAGGGCACTAGGAGGAATGATCCATTGAGAGTTATTATAAGCAAACTAGAGTCCAGTGGCAGATTCAAGGGGCGGGTTCCCTCCCCCACCCCTACCGAAAAATTTTCAAAATTAAAAAAAAATATTGAGAAAAAAAGGAATTCTACTAAAATTTTGAGTGCCATTTCTGGCTATCTAGTGGTGCCATAATCATATACAGTATTTTCTTAAGTCATCCCCAACCAGGGTGGGTAGTATAGACCCTGCATCTGTCAAAGTCCCTCTTTGGGCCCCTATATTTCAAACTCCTGGATCCGCCACTGGAGTCTGCAATAAGTTAGAGTCTTGGCCAGTACACAATAAAATGACCACAAACGTAAAGGTCACAACAGGGTGCTAGGATTGGGTGGTTCACTGGCACAGTGTTTCTATGACAATGTATAGTATATGCAAGGAACTGACACCCAGTATATAGACCAACCATCACCTCATAGAGGGTAGTGTTCCTAAGTAGCTCTTATTTCATGTTAAGAATCATAGATGATGGAGTTTCCAGGTAGCTTTTCCACAGATTTGAGAAACGTGCCATAGTTGCGCCGTCGATGACACGATGATCAGCGGACCAACTCACCTGCAACACATGGCTCTTGTAGAGTTGATCATCATCATTGAAGCGAGGCAAAGTCTGAATGATGCAATAATTAAATATTTGTTTATATTTCCTTATTGATAAGATTTTTTTAACATTTTTGTCTTGTAATTTTATAATTGTATTTTAAGAGGGCCTTTAATATCATTTATTATATACCTCATGCATAGATTCTAGGCATTTGATTGGTTAAGAAAAGGGCAATAGAAAGTACTATCCCCCTAAAAAATAGTATTTTTTCTGCCCTGACACACGGTGTGAAATCTCTAGGCTGCGTTGCTAAGCAATTTATGACATGCACAAACGGTAAAGGAGACGTGACCTCTACATGCTCACTGAGAGAGATTGGCCGTTTGATTGTCTTGGCCTAGCAAGTAAGCCTAGGAGGCCTACTTGGTGTGTACTATTTTCACTACTTTTTAGGTCCCATAGAATCTATGTATGAGGTATATAAAACAAATATTGACTGCTGTAGATTTGGTGAAATCTATAGCCCCTTGGAGATGTGGAGACCGTAGCCTATCTTCCCTTGGGCCTTCGGCCATTAGGAAGATAGGTTACGGTCTCCACATCACCTTGGGTTTTAGGTTTCACCATTTCCCTCGTGATCAATCAATATTTGTATAATATTACCTGTATAATAATAATAATAAGCAAGTAAGGAATGGCTATAACTTCAAGTAACAAAACACACTTTGCTTTACTATAAAAATATATAGAAAAAATAAGATAGTTTAGTGTTTTACTGTATATCAAAAACATGAATGCGTTGACAAATACCTGGATTTTGCCCAAAGCTCCGATAGCAACTGTTGGTGGTAGAAGGACTGGTTTAGCATAGGTGCCACCAATCTAATGCATAGAAGTATAAACGGTAACAATAAAAATGTATCAAAAACCACATAATAAATATGAAACAAACTGTCTAAAGATGTGATGCATACAACTTAAGCTTTGACCACAATGCAAAGAATTCAATTCAATCTTTATTGGTCCAATACATAAAAAATACATCAGAAAATCTTTGTATAAACAGTAACAATAAAAATCTACCAAAAACCACATAATAAATATCACATTTATATATGGGCATGATGTCATATCACACCCATGATGATGTCATATCACACACATTAAAATATGGGCATGATGATGTAATATCACATTCATATATGGGCATGATGTCATATCACACCCAAATATGGGCATGATGTCATATCAAATCCATATATGGAATGATGATGTCATATCACATCCATATATGGGCATGATGATGTCCATATTTAAGCAAATCACATGTACGTGCCACATAAAACTTTATATTGTGGACAATACTACACAAAACACAATTACTGTACATTATTTAAATTCCTAAAAATAGTTATATTGATAGTTATTATGGTGCAAAAAAACAGCCAAATTAATTATGTATTCAATTATGTCAATGAGCACTTAATTGCACAGGCCCCAAAATTAATAGGCACACTCATTTTATTGTTGTAGTTTGTATGGTAACAAATCAAACAAAATTAATATCACCAACATCAATGACAATTTCTTTACAGGTGGTAAATAACTGGCACAGAAATATTTAATGAACTTGTTCACTTACTGCCCCAATATTTGACAAGGAAAATGTTGGCTCACTCAGATCCGTCGTAGATAACTTCCCAGAAGCACTTGCTTCCATCAGTCGATTTAATTCCTGTGCAACTTCCAATACAGTCAGATTTTGTACGTTTTTTATATTAGGTACAATGAGACCCAAGGGTGAGTCCATTGCTACTGCTATATTGTGCGAACCCTAAAGATTAGATAAACAATTTTATTCTAGTCAATCAACAAAGGTATCAACTGCTTCAGGAATTGAATCGGCAACCTTCAATGCACTGTCCCACACTCTCTCAAATAAGCTAAACCATCCAACTTGAAATCAACAAAAAATATATTAAACAACTCTCTAATTTTATTTCAAAAACCTAATTAAACACTATAATTTAATGAAGATAATCAGTTGACTTAAATTCTATTTATTAGCTTCCCTCTCTCCTCTTCCCTCTCCCTTCATTTTAAATTCTATTGATTAGCTTCCCTCTCTCCTCTTCCCTCTCACTTCATCTTAAATTCTATTGATTAGCTTCCTTCTCTCCTCTTCCTCCTCCAACAAATTAAAAAGTATCAATAGAGTACAACGTTTATTACGCCTAAATGACTTATGGGCTTTCTGGGATAGGCATTTTAAAACCTAATAATTTACCATCAGAATGTACTGAAAACATAAAAGCTCGCATTAGAGTTATCGAACACATATTTAATCGTCAATTAAAATTTACAAATAAAAATTAAGATACATTAAAATAATTACGTTAGAAATTGGGATCAATGGTTTGTCAGTGGAGACAGTGGATCCGGGTGACTGCATTTTGGGGTCACTGATAGCAACGGAATAGTATCACATGATATTGTGACGTACCAACGTAGTACTCTATGGTGATTACTAACTACATTACATTATGAGGCCTGGTGATGCTTACCTTGTAAGTAATATGCTCACACTGTTGATCCACCCATGCATTTAAGATAGGGAATTGCTGTAAAGCCATTGATGCTGCCTGTAGGAATATATAATGATCGGTATTAGTTATCACCATCTTATCTTACAATATGATGGCAGTAACCACAAAATATAAATCTTATATTTCTTATAAAATTTATGTAATCGCCTATCATATTATAGAGAATGATGAATGCAGGTCAATTTGACTTGTTCCAAGGATGGAATTCTCACCTTGATAAATACAGGCATGTATGTGAATTTGACCCCTCCTGTGGATGCCGACAGCTTCAGTTTCTCTCTTAGCGCCACTAATTCATTTAATTCAATCTCATCACAATAACCAAAATGAGGTATGGAGTTGGCTGCTACCATGCTCTTAACCATTGCCTTTTGGAAACCCTTCACTTTTTCAGTTCTATCCTCTACACTGTAGGTAAGCTTGGGTGTGGGTGGAGGCGTTGGTGATGATGATCTGGGCATCTGGGTGATTTCTGCTTCTAAAGTTTGATAATGGGAAGTTAAACAATGGCATTTTCTTAAATACTGAATATATGAAAACAGTTCAATTCATACAAATTTATAATGACTCGGGTACACTATAAAGAACCCAGTACATCATTCAAGACGAGTAGAGGGACACCCCGGTGTACTGGAACAGACGGCCCCTGTGGTGTACGACGAGAGTTGCTGGTACCGGGTTACCGGGTAGCACAGACATGAAGGGACCCTTAGGGGCGAAGGAAGTCATTGGTCGAGTTCCTAGTCCACACATCAAGCACCATGAGCATCTTGTTTGATGGATACCAACGCTTTACAAATCTACACTATTATTATTATTTAATTAATTAATAATATCTTTTAATTGAATTTCTGTTTTGATTTCCATATATTTACTCTATCTTTTGTTTAATAGCATAGTTCAAATGACACATGCCTTACCTTTATCTGAGGTTGTTGAAGGAGACATATTAATGTATTTTAGAATATCTTCCTTTAGAACTCTATAATCTTTTCCACTTCCCTCAATATCAGCAATGTTGATCTAAATATAAAAGTTGAAACATTGTTGGTGTTATAACCAATAAGAATTTTTTAAATTCTAAACTACCACTGATAGGATATTGTGAGAATTTTGTTGATGATCTTATTGTACTATAACCATTTTGTTTAGTATTCATTTATTCATTTTTTTCTTTGTATATTTAGCTTCAATGCCCAAAACTACAATAGTAGCTTAAAAAGGTTAACCTTGCATTCACACCGAATCCGTATTTTCCAATCAGAAAGCCTACCACAGTACCGAACCAATCAGAAAATGGAATCAGTGTGTAAGAATAGGGACACTAACATTCAGTTTAGTTAAAATTTCGTGAATGCAGCTTAAACTAGAAAATTTGCAGGCCAATGTTTGGTTGTGTCTGCGCATCGCAAATTAGCAAAACTTACATTGTGCTCCATGGCAAGACGCTTGACAGCTGGTGTTGCAATAACTCTCTTGCTGTGTCTGTCACTAACCTGAGCTGGTGAGTCAACACTGCTTCCATCACTACTAGACTCGCTCGCTTCATCCACATCAACATCTCCAGTATCTACAAAAAGAGGAAAAATTGGGCCCCTGAAATTGCTATTTTTAAAACTAGGATAAAAGAAAATTAAATTAAA